AAAGAAATTCTTGTTGAACCTAATAAAGTTGTTGTTCCAGTTCCTGTTATACAAGGAAAAAGTTGGTTCTTAACCAATTGAAATTGTTAATGAAGAACCGAGGAGCCAAGATGAACCTCCAATTTTCCCAACAACGATTGAATCGATTTCTGAGCCACAAGTTAGGAGATCACAAAGGGAAAGAAGATTTGCATTGCCCAGTGATTATATTACATATTTATTGGAAAGCAATTTTAATATAAGGCATATTGTTGATCATGTAACTTATAACCAAGTATTGACAAGTCCTGACGTAGATAAATGGATAGCTGTCATGGAAGATGAAATGAATTCCATGGAAAAGAATAAAGTTTGGGATCTTGTTAAACATCCTCCAGATGCTAGGGCTGTAGATAACAAGTGGATTTCCAAAAGTAAATTAGATTCAAAAGGAAATGTTGAATGGAAGAAAGCAAGATTGGTTGCGAAAGGTTTCACTCAACGAGAGGGCATTGATTATGTTGAAACCTTCTCCCCTATTTCGTCGAAAGATTCTTTTCGAATTATCTTGGCTCTTGTGGCACACTACAATTTGGAGCTCCATCAAATGGATGTTAAGACAGTATTTTTGAATGGAGATCTTTCTGAAATGGTTTATATGAAACAACCTGAAAGTTTTGTTGTGAAAGAAAAAGAAAACTTGGTGTGTAAGTTAAACAAGTCTTTATATGGTCTCAAACAAGCATCTCGACAGTGGTATTTGAAGTTTGATGAGGTTGTGACCTCTCTTGATTTTGTTGAAAATACTATTGATCAATGCATTTATCTCAAAACCAGTGGGAAAAATTTTATTTTTCTTGTACTATATGTTGATGATATTCTGTTTGCTAGCAGTAACTTAGGGCTGCTTTATGAGACAAAGAAAATGTTGTCTGCTAATTTTGAAATGAAAGATCTTGGAGAAGCTTTCTATGTACTTGCCATTGAAATACATTGCGATAGAAATCGTGGCTTATTGAGACTTTCTCAGAAAGCTAATATACTAAGTGTTCTAGAAAGGTTTAATATGCAAAACTGTGCTCCTGGTGATGTACCTATCATAAAAGGAGATAAGTTTAACAAAACTCAATGTCCAAGGAATGAGCTAGAAAGGGAGTCTATGAAGATGATTCCATATGTTAGTGCTGTGGGGAGCTTGATGTATGCTCAAGTTTGCACTAGACCGGATATAGCCTACGCACTAAGTGTCCTTAGCAGATTTCAGTCTAATCCAGGACAAGAGCATTAGAAAGCAACTAAGAAAGTTATGAGATATTTGAAGAAAACTGAAAGTTATATGCTTACATTCCAGCGTACAAATCATCTTGAAGTGGTAAGATATTCAGATTCTGATTTTGCTGGATGTTAAGATGATTTGAAATTAGCCTCGGGTTATATTTTTACACTAACTGGTGGTGGCATTTCTTGGAAAAGTGCTAAACAGACTCTAGTGGCATCTTCTACTATGCAAGTTGAATTTGTGGCATGTTATGTGGCTCCAGTCCAAGTCGTTTGGTTAAGAAATTTCATCTCTAGCTTGAAAGTTGTTGATTCCATCTCAAGACCGATCACCATCTACTGTGATAACAGTGCAACAGTATTCTATTCAAAGTATAATAAAAGTTCTGGTGGATCAAAACATATTGACATCAAATATTTGATTGTTAGAGACAGAGTCAAAGAAGGACAGATGAAAATAGAGTATATCAATACAGAGACAATGATTGCAGATCCCTTGACTAAGGGATTCGTTCCAAAAGTCTTTAAGACACATGTTACTAATATGGGCATTGTGGAAACATTTAATATTTTTGGTTAGTGTGAGTAATTTATGTAAAGAACTACATTTTGAGCTTGATCTCTTTACGGGGTACGTAGGCAACCCATATATTTTCGGGTATAGCCCCTTTTGATAGTAAAATATTTTTTCCCTATCCATGAACTATTATGAGTATGCATTTGACTTATGTCTTTTCATAATATTACTGTGATATCAAAATATGACGCATAAAGATATAAGATGAGTCTCTTTTGGAGACATGTGGCTTCATTTTGATTCTAAGCATTATGCGGACCGATATGAGTTAGCACAGTTTTTTATCACATTTGGTGCTAAGTTCATACCACATTAGTTGGAGGACGAGGATCCATGTCGATAAGGATGTTGGCATTTGTAGGTGTGGAATGGTCTTACATCGCTTAATTGGTATAATGACTTCCATGTTCGGTGTTAATATTCTTGTTGGACCTGATCATGTTACGTAACGTGTCATCATTGGAGCTATACTTTTGTGGCAACCTATGTAGTCTAACCCGTGTGTTAGAACTTTGTTATAACAATCAAATGTTTGTCCAAGTGGGAGAATGTTGGAATAATTTCATATGTGGGCTTCACATTCGATTGCAAATTTTACTGGTTAGATGTATGACTCATAATGATATTTGTGATTGGGCCAAATTTGTTAAGTGATCAATTGAGCTTTTTGCGCCTTACGGGTTGTGATTTATTTGGTGTGGTAATTTTATGTATGTGGGTTGGAAATAATCCCTAATTAGAATTCTAGTCATAATGGGACGGCTCAATTATTTCCTATATAATGATTAGGTCCCCTCTCCTCTCCATGTATATGTTTTATTAGCTTGTCCTATTGATAGCTAATACTTTGTGAAGAGCCAGGAGGGGAAGATCTTGACTGCTATTACAGCTATCATTGCACTTAACATTCCGCAAGGGAAAATCAATTTTGCAAGGAGTAAGATGATGTTAATTTATATTTGCTATGTGGTTTGTTGTAACACACAAACTTCTTGGTTATAGTAGGCTTTAAAATGTATAGTTAATTTTGTTAAGGTTGATCGATCGTCGGACATGTGTTTGTTATTATGGTTCATTGTAGTGTATTAACGGTTTGGACAAGGTTTGTAATTATGGTTTATTTGTACAAGGGCTACTGTGCAGATATCTCCGTATAATGATGTATATTATTCACAGTCTACATGCATTCATCCAAGACATCATCGGCTGCAAAACAACATGCACCACCTATAAAGTGATCACATTATAAATAATGTGTAGTAGATAGTAAAGGACAGGGTAAAGGGCAACTACTTCAACCTACCAATAATTCTTTGTACGAGATTGGAGCATATAAAATCAGGAGTTCCACTATGCGTACGGGATGAGGCCTCACAGAGCTCTTACGGAATACACATAAGGGAGGAAGTCGTCATTTTTTTTGCAATTTTTATCATCCATGAGTCTTGCATGGGGCTGATCTCATGTGTCTGTTCTGGGAGGGGTTCTGTGAACCCCTCCTCTAGACAAATGGCTTTGGCCTAAAATCGGTGGCACAACATCATTGCAGTAGCTATGGTTAATTGCGGTCTGAAACTTATGCAGTGTCATTAACATATATAAATTGGCTAGAACTTTGCAATCGTAATTGTCTAACTTTTTTGATATAGTTCCGACAATCATTCTCCACAAAAGTCATATTCTCATATCCACCTACTGTCATAATTGCGGAGTTACAACTATTGTGCAAGGGAATTCCTGCTACGTCATTCACTGCAAGCCTTCGTTTCACACCTACACTCAATTTTCATTTGCATCGGTACAACCTAGATTTGGAAGGGCTTGATTTGTGATTGTGCTCAGGGTACAGTTTGTTAATTCTCTATATTCCGAGACTATATAAAGATGTAGATATTTTTGCTTTGCACTTTGTCTGACTAGTTGGTTGCAACTTCAAAGAACCGCATATAGCATAACTTTTTCGACTTTCACGACTACATGTGTGAACGTTATATCTATCATAACTTCATCGTCTCCCTTTTTCGAATTCCATTTCCTCACTGAATATCCTACGACATAAGCACATCTTTTATAGAATTCCAGCTTTTTTTTCTATTAAACATCATACCCACCTCAGGCTCAATCACAACATTTCCTTTCACATTTTTCATTGTCCAATATGTTCAAATTGTCCATTGTGTTCTCGTTATCACATTCCAGCAACCAATCATTGTTCTCATCTTCCATAATTTCTTTTCATGCAACAAAGTTTCTAATTTTATTAAAAGTTGCAAGTTATATATAACTAACAGCAAGCCCCAAATTTACACCACATCTTACAAGTTTCTTACAAAGTTACAAATTTACACCAAATTTCTAACAAGTTAGCATAACAATCCGACCAAGTTCTCGTTTGTACCCCTTTCAAATTTCCTACAAAATTACAAATTTACACCAACATCTTACAACTTTCAGTACAAGTTCCATATCCACGAGAAGTCATGAAATATATTAACCAATGAAAAATACAGTTCAAGCAATAAGCAATTCAGCCTCGATTTCGGCATCTCGCTTTTTGTTCCATTTATTTTATTATAAAATTATAGTTTCAATCAATTCATTTGCCTGCCACGTCATCTTATTTAAATTCTTGTATGTTTTGTCTAAAAGGTTTCCGTACCCATAGATAAATTCAAGATAAAATGCGAGATTTATGCTAAAGCAACAGGGCCTCATGATAGGCATTTGGGATAGGGGTTGAGGTTCGTGTCCCCAGCCCTATTGCTATAGCTGGGCTGAAAATGAGAGCCACATTAGGTCCGTAGGCAGCACAGTCCACCTAAGTCCGATCTTTTCGATGTCTACAGTTCTGACCCATACTTGAATATCAGAACTCGATCCATAAAATATATTCATAACAAACGTTCTGCAGAACCTAAGATTAAATTTCGGGTTCAGATACAAGGCCAAGATGGCGTGACCTCGGCCCATGTGCTGCAACATCGAGAGCCGAGATCACGCTACCTTGATCCCTATCTTCAAACTCTGGATTTAATCCCTGGATGAGGAGCATTATTCTATTCATAAAGTTTTGACATCTTCCGGACAAAAACCCCTAATAACAATTCAATTAATTGAATATTTTGGGCACGTTATCCATACCTGACGTCCCTCTCTCACGGACTCGCTCCCACACTATTCCCCCACTCTTCATTCTATTTCGTTAATCTCACACGCATAATCGAACGTTCGAAAATTCTCCGTTGCCCGCACCGGAATATTCAGAGGATGGGCTTCTATTTAGCTATCCTGAAAACCACAATCTTTTAGCGCCACGTGTACCAGCTACGATGCTTCTGGAGAATTACTTTTGGAAATCATTAAACGAGGTATTAAATAGCTTCAACGGTCAAAACCACCTCACAGGATTCTGACACGATTCAAATCAAAAGGTTAGATCAATCTTTTGTTTCTTTAGAGGTAGTTTAGCTAATTTTGTTGTATTTGTAAATAAAAATCGTTTCGCAGTGGTTTAATTGGGACGCGAGAGAGAGCTCAGATAGGTAAAAAGGGGAATTCTCAAATAGTTTGTTTTCTTGAATTGGTTGTAAGTTGGTCTTCGTGTTGTTGTTTTTTGAGAGGTATTTTTGGTGTCGATTTGCAGGTGATAAGAATGGCGAAGGCTCAGCGGGGTGAGGTCGTTTCATTGGAGCTCCCTGCACCTGCCTCTTGGAAAAAAATGGTATTTATTTATTTATTTTGTTAAATTCGCTCTTAATTCTTCTGCATATACGAAATTTTGGAACCTTTCGTTGTAATTTGATAGTAATTTTATCGTTAGGGTTTATGGTAGAGTAATACTGCAACTGTGTTTTGTGTGAATTTTACATTTTTTCATAGTTGTTTATTAATTAGAGTTTCTCAATTCTTTCTATCATTTACTATTTTATTAGTGAAAACTTCTCGGTATGACGGTATTCAATTCAATCAACCAGTGTTTGGAGTGTTAATCATCTTTCACACTACTCCGTTGCATCGCATCTGGTTCGTTAAGTGTGGGTTTATACAGGGCAATACCAGCCTAAGCTAAGGAAGCCTGGCTGCCTTAATACCCTGCAGAACTGTCATCTTCAAATTATTTTTCTGTTATAATGTTGATTGGAGAGTGCCATGGTTCAGATTTAAAGTAGATTGTTATAAATATGGTTAAATTTGCTTCAATAAGTAAATTATATGTAGGTATCTCAACTGTCGCATGACAATCATATCTCTTCGACTCCTGAGTAATGTAGCTGCCATTTATGGAATTAATCTCCTTGAAAGATCTAACCATTTAGTAGCCTTCTTATGGTATATCGAGCCATTGAGGTTAGACAAGTGGTTATTGCTAGCCTAGGCTGTACAGTGCCTAAAGTTAACAATGCGCACGTGAAGTCACATTCACAAATCCAAGATTACTTTCCAATCGACAGTATTGTTCTTTTACCTCATATAAAATATGAAACTGCCGTAATGCTCTGTGGGACTATGAGGAATCTATTTTTGCTAGTGAAGAATCCTTATGTTTCTAAATGTGGATGGCTTGGTGGGTTGAGGCTTGTGCAGTTAGTCAGTGTATAATGAAACAAGAATTCTCGTATATAAGTTGATATTTCAAATACATTTATTGAATTTCGGGATGGAAAAAGGAAGATAGATGAATCAAATCCTACAGATATCTCTAGGCATGTAAAAGACGAGTCATTTGAGTGCCATCTTAGAAATTTTTCATGCATTTCTGTGATTTCTCATGGGCTAATATTTTGTTGTTATTATAAGTAAATTTTCTGTCCATAGAGTATCTTGACACTGTTAAATGACCTTGTTTTTCGTAGTACATGCCAAAGAAGGGAACACCAAGGAAGAATGAAGTATCATTTATTGCTCCTACTGGAGAGGAAATTAATAACCGAAAACAGTTGGAGCAGTACTTAAAGTCTCACCCTGGAAATCCTGCAATCTCAGAATTTGATTGGAGCACTGGTGAGACTCCAAGAAGATCATCGAGGATCAGTGAGAAGGCCAAGGCCACACCTCCATCTAATGAAAGAGAGTCGCCTAACAAACGGAGGAAGAAAGCATCAGGTACAGAAAAAGACAAAGAGACAGTCACTGGAAAAAAGGATATGGAAGGGAAGAAAGAAGTTGAAAAACAAGATGAAGAGGTTGATGAGAACAAAGAACAGGAAAAACAAACTGATATTCTGATGGGTTCTGAGGCCAAGAGCAGAGACAAAATGCAGGAAGATCCAGCTGAGAAAAGTAACCCTATGCCCGAGTTGGATGAGAAAGGCCGCAAGGAAAATACTGGTATAGATGTTGAGATGCACGGTGATAAACAAGGGAAGAGAGTCAATGATAACGATGAACCTACCGACAAAACTCACGATGCCGAAGAGACTTCAAAGGTGGAAGAAAATCAGTTATCTGGAGTGGAAGAGAAGCCGGATACTGGGGCTGCAGAACTTCGGGTAGATGATGAGAAACAGGTTAAGGCATGTAGTGTCACCATGGAAGCTGCTGATGGAGCTGAAAAGAAGATTCTTGGTGGTGCGGCACAAACTAACGGAATTCAGGATAACAGCGGGAAAAGTAATTTGCAGGTGGCGGATCAAAAAATGATTATGAAGGGGGACGTCATGGACGATGGCAAGGTGAATCTAATTGGGGCAACATTTAGCTCAAATCAGCCTTCTTTCGCTGCTACTAGTTGAATTTTCTGTTAATGTCTATCTTCTGTAGATCTCTGTTGCTTTATGTAATTCTAACATTTGCGTATTTCGATGACTGTAATATTAAATGATGACTAGGCGAGTCTTATTTTGAGATAGGCAATCAACCTTTCTGGACTGTTTATGACAATGTAGTTTTTTTTGTGCCTGCGTGGAAATATAGATTGTTATTGTAGACAGATTATGATGCTATTTGGTTAACTCGTATGTGCTTTGTTTGTTTATGCTCTATGGGATCGTTCTTACTTAGAAGAGTGTACTCCCAAACTCTGTTCGTTGCTTCTCTTGAATAACTAGGAGGCAACGTTGCAAGGGCTCAAAAAGTCAGTAAGGATGAAGGATAAACGTATTTGCAAGGGCTCCATCCATTCTCCAAGACCAAAGCAACAATAAAGCATTGGTAGATGAATTTTTCCATCGAACTTTAGAAAAAATGGGGGATAAATGTGTATATTGAATAAAACAGTGGAATTTATGTTGTTGAACCTTAATAGAATGTTTGGCAGGTAATACTAGGTACGACTAACTGGTGAGAGGTTGCTGATAGTAAGTTCAAGATTTTTTTTGGAGTTCAACCAGGTACATCCGTACATGCGAATTATACCCTTTTGTTTGTTTTTATTGGTAATAGATTTTTAAATGCATATGCTTGGTTTTATCGATAAGAGATATTTTTACAGTGAATAGTTTTTATTATTTTGTTGCAATTATATTTCTCTCTGCAATGTTATCCTTAATTATCTGAACCTTAATATCAGAACATCTCATCCTTACTACCTGCAACATGGCTGCTGTTGCTGCAGCGTCAACTGCTTCTCTTACTTCTAAACAAATTTTAACCACTCCAAGTGACACTACTAGTACCTCGCTTTCAACACATTTCATGTTCTACAGTCTTTTGCTTCTTCTGATCGTAACTGGATCCAGGTTTTCGTGGATATATCCATTTTTGTTGTTTATTTACACTGAATTGGGGAAGTTTCCATTCGTATATCGAAATCATTTTTAAACGGATTGGTCATCAAAGAGAGAGACTATGACTAATAAAATATGACAATGCCTAAATATTAAATAGCTTGAAAGCAATAGACGTGAAGGGGATTAGGGCTTTTCAAGTACTTGATCAAATAAGGATATTATATGAAGAAGTCCATGTACTAATGCACCTTTGTAGACCTGGGAATTCCGGTTATCATGTTCTTTATTGGCAAAAGTCCTTTTCTAAAGTGTGTTGCAACACATTTCAGAAAATTGTGCACAATTCAGGCAATTGGAAACTGAAGCTGACATGTACACGAGGGGGTGTCGAAGTTGAAGTTGAAGTTGAAATAAATAAATAAATCTGTCCTTTCTTTAAGCATTTAGACTTTTACATGAGTTAGTTCAATAGTTAATGCTTCTATGTTAAAACATTCCTTTAAGAAAACATAATACAGGGAAGAGATTGTTTATAGGCTTCTGCTGCAGATGCTACTTTCATGGGTACTCCTCTGCGGAGTTTTCATTCATCTATGAGAAAATTAGTTAAGATTAGAGGAAAGGTAGTTGCTGCTGCTGCTTCAGTTGCAATGACTCCAGTTGAGGAAGTTAAAGAGTGAGTTCTTAACTCGTCTCTATCTGGTGCTCACAAAGAATTATTTTCTACAGTGAATTAATTTACAATTTACAATATACCAAGCTTGATTTTAGAAAATCCATTGACAATGTTTCCAGATATGTACTTCTGACATGGGCTGAATTCGATCTTGGAAGAGCTCCAGTCTACTGGAAAACTATGAATGGGCTTCCTCCTACTTCAGTATGTGTAATATCAGTACAGCATAATGAGTTTGAAAATTCTTTTCATTTATTGAACTTTGCATCTGATTATGACAAAATTTGATAGGGAGAAAGGCTGAAGCTATTCTACAATTCAGCAGCTGGCAATTTTGTTCCCAATGAAGATTTTGGAATTGCTTTTAATGGTAATGTCTCACTTTCTGTCTTAACTTGCTATTTGGAACTTCATGATACTGTCCTGCATTAAAATTAGGAGTGAAGTTGTATCAAATGATAACCGACTTATTTCTATAAAGGTGTTGGTATAACTTACATGGCATTTCTGGATTGATTTTTATTAATAACTTGTGCTCATACTTTGGGAAACTGTTCAGTTTTTGTAAACATTTGTGTATCTGGTGATGTACTATTTTATGGACGTTCATTGATTTGCAGGAGGTTACAATCAGCCGATCATGTGTGGTGGTGAGCCAAGGGCGATGCAGGAGAAAGTTTGAGGAAAAGCTGATCCTCCTATTTACACAATCTAAATATGTATCCCAAAGCATGGTACCTCCATAACTAAATTTATTTCCACTTCTTGAATAGAAATTCGTCTACAACGTATTTGACAATTTAGCATTTGGCAGCAATAATTTGATATTCTCAATCACAAATGGAACTGAGTGGGATGGTTCTATAGATTGCAATTTCAAGTTCCAAAAGCTTGGCAAAATAAACAAATGGTCAAAATGTGAGTAATTGGCTCAAAACGTCTCTACCTTTTGAGTGTATTGTGAAAAATGTTACCACATTTTATTTTTTGACATTTCTGCCCCTATTTTCACTTTTCTTTGCGCTGAACGTTCTTTTTACCTATTTTTGACGTAAAATGATCAATTTACCCTCATATTTAAACAAAACAAAACAAAAAGAAAAGAAAAAAAAAATGTAACGATAGGCCCAGCCTTTTCATATATGCAAATGAGCCCAAAATTGAAAAAACACAGCCCACAACCTTCGAGCCTTTTCCACCCCAATGGCCACCGCTAGCCACCCCTGTTTTCCCCCTCCCCCTCCTCTCCGACGCTGCCGCCTCACCTATGAAGCTCTCTCCCACCCCTTTTCCAAAACTACCAAAACATGCTAACTAACTTCAAAATTTTCATTTACACCCCAGCTAAACCATTTACTTTCCAAAATCCAGTCGCATCTCTCTTTTACAATTCCCTTCTCAAAAGCCCCTTTAACGCTCAAGACCCCAATGAAGCTTACCTCTTCTTCGTACCATTTTCTCCCAACACCTTCAGGCGCTCTCTTGCGCGTCTTGTCAAGGACTTCAGAGTAAAACATCCTTATTGGAATCGCACACTTGGTACTGATCATTTCTTTCCTACAACCGGCGGGTATTGATTATTCGGCCGACAGGAATGTTATTGAGCTGAAGCAAAATTCTGTACAGATTTCTTTTTTCCCTGTTATCTCCTGTAACTTTATCCCGCATAAGGACATCACTTTACCTCCACTGAACCCATCCACTAGCGTCGTCTCTGCTGCACCGGAGAATGCATCAACGATGTCGTTTCTGGGTTACTTAAAATGGGATGGAGAAATGAGTCAAATTTCACGGAAGAATTGAAGAAAGATGCTGATTTCTTGGTTGATATGGAAAGAGATTCTTTAGATCAGGTGGGGAATGTCAAAACCAGTAAATTCTGCTTGCTTTTTTTGGATGGTGAAGGCGATGGCTCTGGGTTCCGTGTCGGTGGTGATTGTAGACCGTACGATTCAGGACTTGTATTGATGGATGTTTTGAGGTGGACTGATTTAAGTTTGCTGGTGGCCACACGCCGCTACTGTAAGCGGCCATTGGGGTGGAAAAGGCTCGAAGCTGATGAAAGTTGTTTGTGGTGTGAGCTCCGGTGTTTTAGGCGGCGGTTCGGTGGTGGTTGTTGAGGTGAAAGCCGGTAGTGGAGTGTCGGTGGTGTGTGGAAGACAATTTTTTTCAATTTTGGGCTCATTTGCACAAATAAAAAGTCTAGGCCTATAGTTGCATGTCTTTTCTTTTCTTTTCTTTTTGTTTTGTTTTGTTTTGTTTAAATAGGAGGGTAAATTGGTTATTTTACGTAAAAAAAAAAAATAGGTGAAAAGGATGTTCAGCACAAAGAGAGGTGGAAATAAGGGCAAAAATGTCAAAAAATGAAAGGTGAGAACGTTTTCCACAATATACTCAAAAGGTAGGAACGTTTTGCGCCAATTACCCGTCAAAATGTTGATATTTTTGGGACACTTGTTCAATAGAAAGAGTTTATAAGAGAATCTTGTTTTAGGCTTGCAAATTCTATGATCAACCATTATTCTTATTTGCAAAATAGATCTTATGTTCTAAATATATTAAGAGATTGATGTGCTCGGAATTTTCTCAAGAAACATAAAATACGTGCTGTAGTTCTGTCTTGTGTGGTTCCATCTCAATGAAAATCTTGGGTGTGATATTTTTTCACCCTTCGAAATAATCCAGGACCTTGCATAGGAATTGAGTAAAGCTGCATGTGAAAGAGCAATCTTCCCAGCATGAGTATCGTCGCCACAAGATGTGCCATGATTGTTAACTTTTCAGTCGAAGGAGTAAGTGAACTTCTCTATGTATAAAGCCCCATTTTGGCCCAATTTTCATAATCTACTAAAAATCTGATATTTAACTAAACCATGTATTATTAGGGTAAGCAACACATTTGTGTCCTGAATATGGACATATTGTCGAATTATGTAAATCTTTTATAAATTATTTGTCTCTAGGAACAGCACAGAGAGATTAAAAGGAAACATTCTTGTTAGAGCAAACATTTTCATATTAACTAGCCAATGCATTGCAGGGTGACCGATGCAATCTTGATCTTGTAGCTGGGTGCACCGATCCTCTAGCCATTGTGGACGATGGCTCTTGCCCACCTTATTCTGATTCCAAGGATTAAAATCATCTAATAAATATCAAGCATCAATATCATCATGTTTTATTTAGTTTGATAATGTACTTGCAACTTAAAATAGCGAATCTTGAGACAGGTTCTTGTACTTTTAAATACGAGTGGACTATGTGAATATTTTTTCATCACTCTGTCATGTCCGTCTAGTGAACAATTTAGTGTCGTGTTATCCTTACTACGACTTATCATTCTCATTTTAAGATATGCCCCTTTTCTCTTATAAGACGATGATATTGTGTAAATGAAGTAAGTTGAGACCAAAAAGTGATTGATCCTTCACGTGTCGTAAGTATAATTAAACAATGAAACAAGGAAAATCTATGTCCTGTCTATTTTGAAGAATGTCCCATCTCGGTGGCACGTGAAGTTTGTGAACCATCATAATTCCTTCGCAAACTATGTCCTTGTTTTTATGCACATTACTTTTAAAATACATTTTTCTATCTTATTTTAACCACTCATTCTTCAATAAAATAATATTACACATAAATCTCAAAATTTTTCTTATTTTTTAATCACATACTTTCAATTAATTTACTGTTTCAAAATACATTCTACATGAAAAATGGGATTTGCCCCTATTTGGCCCCATTATTTTGGATTATAATTTTTGGAATAGTATTTTTTTGGTGAATAAGTTGTTGAAAAAAAAAGAAAAACTTTCGATTTACATGTAATATTACTTTATGAAAGATTAAATGATTAAAAATAAGATAATTATAATGTAAAATAATAGGGCCAAACGTGGCTATAACAGTCGAATGAATGTCTATTTTTTGTCAACAAACCACCAACACAATGCATTTTTGGTTAAACCGAATTATTATTTTAATTAACGCGGTATCGATTGGGTTGTCATTCATAGAATTACAGCCAAGAAACATACATGTGAGCTTCAAACTTCATATTTTTACAATAATTTAATAGCAAATAATTGATCAAATTATGAATAAATTAATCCCACAGCCCTTCCATTTCTAAAATTATACAAGGCAAAGATATCAAAGAATTGAATATTGTTCTCGCTAAAATGCTTTTGAAATTAAAAAAATAATTTTGAGTATGTTTTAATAATTTTATGTGAGGGTTTAGTTTAATTAAAAAAAATAGCTCTTATGCAAAAAGTAAAAGCTATCCTAAATATGTCTTTAGACTCTACTTCTTCCAAAAGATTAAGCTTCCGTTTGACAAACATTATTAAAAGCTCTTTGTTTATATATTCATTTTCAATTGCACATTCACACAATAAAATATTTTATACGTAAATTCAAAAACTTTTTCATACTTTTTAGGACATGTTTGAGCCTCGTTTTTTTGAGAATAACATATTTTGAAATAGTATTTTGATTGAGAATTTGAGGTTAAAAAAAGGAAAAGTTTTGAATTTGCGTGTAATATTATTTTATTAAAAAAATTAGAGAAAAAATATATTTAAAAAAAATAGTAAACATGCTCTTATAATAATACATTATCTTAAAAGTCATTATTCAAAATATTGTTTTTAAAGTATAATGGCCATCAAACAAGGGCCTGAGCACGTCCCAACCTAACGCTAATAGCTTATAAATTAATGAAAGAAAATAGCAAAAGCGAATAAAACAAAGTCACTCAACATATTACACAAGCAAAAGAGAGGGCAACGCAAGGGCAAAGGCAAAGGCCAAAGAGTGTCTCTCAAAAAAGGATCATCTTTCACCTTTCTCAAAAATCAGCCTAAAGCAATGGAAAGGGATAGAGATGGGGAAGATTTGACACCATTTTGGCTACAAAGAACCACCAGTCTCCGCCTCCGCCTCCGCCTCCGCCTCCGCCAACGTTTGTCATCCATCTTTTTCAGCTCTGGACTCGTGGTGGTACTTTTGCTGGTAGCAGCTGTTTTTTTCTTGGTTTTTGTAGTTTCATCCACTCTCTCTTTCAGCGCTCAGATCTTTAGACCAAACAATGTTAAGAAAAGTTGGGATTCTTTGAACATAGTACTGGTCCTTGCTGCTGTAGTGTTTGGATTTCTTAGCAGAAACAACAATGGAGATAGATATTATGAATATCAAACTTCATCCATTAAACAAAATGAAACCCAGAAATCAAATCCATCAACCCCGTATCAATGGTATAATTATTCTACAGATGAAGCTCAGAAATCCAATGCAACTACTGCAAATCAATGGTATGATCAATATTTAGATAATGAAAATAAGGTCTACAAAAGTTCCACCATGAGGAGGACTAGTAGTTCTTACCCAAATCTACACGATTTTTCATCAAATTGGACATATGGAGATGATAGCCGACGATTCTATGATGATATACATGTCGATACATATCACAAGCTTCATCGCCGCGGCCGGAGCTTAGAAGAAATTGATCGAGAAAGAGAGCAGAATACCAAGAATATTTATGTTGATACAGTGACTGCAAGGCGTCCCAAGGAAGTTTCGAAAACACTGCCACTTCCAGCGATGCCGCCGGGGCCGCCAGCTCAGAAACAGGATGTAGAAAAGCCAAAGAGAACATATGAAAGTGTTGGGCGTAAAAAGGAAAGATCAAAAGTAGAGAGAAACTTGGATCCCAGGAAACCCATTGCGCTAACGAATTCTCCTCCTCCTCCGCCGCCGCCGGTGTTGCAGCCTAAGAGCGGCATATGCGACAGAAACAAAGGTGGTGCGATGGGCTTGAATTCGCTTTATCATAAGACGAAGAAAAAGCAAAGACAAACTTGTGTTGATAATCTGGATTCTCTTTTTCATCAAACTCAAACTCCTGAGCTACATTTCCAACTTCCAAAACGATCGCCGCCACCACCTCCTTCAGTCTTTCACAATATATTCTTATCCAAGAAATCCAAAGGAAAGGGACCCGTAATAGTTACTTCACCAAATCCAGCACCAATCCCACCACCTCAACCTCTGCCGCCAAAAGCAGAACGTGAGCCCAAACTCAGTGCCCAAATTGTACCATTAACCACCCAAAAGCCTCCAGAACTCGTCGAGATGAACAGCTTCGAAAACGCAGATGAGAATTCGAACAGCGGAGGTGAATCACCACTGATGACTATGCCGCCTCCGCCGCCGTTCTTCTAAGCACCGGCGTGGAAATTTGCGATACAAGGTGACTACGTGAGGATAGACAGCAATGCCAGCTCCCGGAGTGGGTCACCAGAACCTGATGACGTGGATTCTGACATCACACCCTCATCCACGCAAGGCGGTAATACGTCGCTGTTTCACCCCTCGCCGGCGTTCTTTCCAAGCCCGGACGTGAATTTGAAAGCTGAATCCTTTATTACCAATTTCCGGGCCAAATTGAAGCTCGAAAAAGTCCATTCAATGAACAAAGGAGAACTAGGCTTGTCTAATCTAGGCCGAGGTCCTGGCCCAAGTTAGATTCTAACCCACCCCCACCCCCACCCCCCTTTCAGAATCATCGAGTACATCGATTTGCAATATGGCATTATGTTTGATAGGTTTTACGGGGATTGGATTGTTACAGATTGGTTATACAAATAATCATATGGTTGTCCAATATGAAAAATTTAAGTGGAGAGATTTAAAGGGCTTGGAGCATAAGGACTTGTTCGGTAGTGATTTTAAGAATTGATTTTTTGATTGTTAGAGAGAAAAGTGAATCTTACCTGTGAAAGGAAAAATTAAAAATTATAACTGAAATAGTAAAATAACAATAAAAAATTAACTTTTTGAGAAGAAAAATCAATACCAAACATGCACTTTATGCCAGTGAAATTCTGACAACAAATGTAAATTCCAACTGATTTTAGCAGAGAAAAAAAGGGCTACAGGTGATTTAAACGAGCTTCACATCATATCATCAAGAAAACAAACTGAAATTTCTAAAAGAGAGTCCAACGGACAGTCAGTCAACTAAAACCTAAGACACGAGACAATACTATATCAAGTGCAAGACTGCCCAACAGGAGTTTACCATTCACAGGTTAATTCTACATGTTACACTCAAAACAAGAAATGACCTAAACAGCAAAGACTTGGAAATTTTAACAAGAGTACAGATAATTAGATCCATATTCCACATCAAGCACGGGCTCTCTTGTTACTGCATGACGGACACTTGTACTGCTTGATATGCTCGGCTCTAGCTGGTGTAATCTTCACACACTTGCCATGGAACCACTTCTCGCATACATCACAGCATATCCAGAATTCGTCTGACGCATAGTTCTCCCCACAAGCACCACACAATGTATCGCCATGTTCCTCATCTTCCTCCTCGTCCAAGCCGTCATCTTCATCTTTTGGCTCTGACTTCGAAAATTTTCCCTGAGATTCAGATGCTCGCTGTTTCCACCAAAAAGTGTACAAGTGTATGATATCACCAAGAAAGAAAAAAACTAATGAAAGAGATGTAATAATACAAGTAGAACTAGAGGGCGTCTGATAGGAGAAGGTGGTGTTTTCAACTAATTCTGAACTGCACTTAAAAATTTTAAGGATCAAAGTGTTGAGCAGTTAATCAAATAAAAGAATTGAGTAGAATGAAAAAGAAGAGAGTGCCAATTAGTTCCATTAACATTCATTCATTTCAAATTGCAATCCTTAAGTGATTAAAAAATAATTAAGATTCATTAATCAAACATAAACTTTGAGTTGCCACCATCGCGATTATGATGCCATGAACTCCAAATATTCAACCATTACCAACCAAATAACTTTATTGTGCTCAAAACCGTACCGATTTAGAGTTTGACTTGGATTTGGTGCTACTGTGATTGGAGACTGAAGACTTCTCTTTCTGCTGTTTCTTTGCAGCACCAGTCACAACTTCAAATACTGTGGGAAGATCATTGATCATGTTGAAAAGTCGCTTCCTGTAACACAAAAGATCAGATATCATTTATAAGAAAAAAAAAATTCATGAAAATTCCATGAAGTCAAATCAAAGATGATTGAATCTCTGAGCAAAAGGGTCCAAGGGATTGAATGATTAGAGCTACAGTGTTGTTTCCTCCTACATACGAAATCTTATAACACATAGACAGCACCAGAAATGTACCTGTCAGCTTTATCGAATCCAAATCTAGCACCAAAATAAAAAGCTGTTGACAGCAACCAAGCATCACTGTGAACTGCAACTAGAGATAACCAGTCTTTTTCTTGCATACCGTCTCTAGCAAAGTTGATACCCAGAGCAGGCTCGGGGAATTCTGGAGGTACTTCTTCAGCAGGCAAATTAACCTCCCACAGCTCATTAGGAAGCCCGTACAAGCACAAATTCTCCTTTTCTGTAGAGCACAGCATGCAATTACTATTGCTTTACTAAAGACAAATAACTAGCATGGGAAAGAAACTTAACACGTCAGTTTCTGCAAACCAGCAAACAAAGAAGTATCAGATGACTTAAAAATCTGGAAACAAAATCTTTCATTAAATAATATAAATGTAACAAACTAAAGCTTCGGAATAAGCTATGACGTAAATGGCCTGACCGGATAATTTACCTGATAGAGAGCTAAAGATGGATGTTATTACATAAGAAAAAATCTAGAGTGCAAACTATGATAAAATCTTACAAATTCTTAATGGACAATTTTTTCTTGAGCTTAAAATAACCTGTTAGAAAGATCAACGCTCTTTCCATTTTTTTCCCAGCATTATTTTAGTGATTTCCACAAGAAGAATAAAATGAACTTTGCACCCATAGGGTATCCTGAGGTGTTATTTCGTACAGAAAAACTCACAAAGGGCCAACTATAGTCATTCTACCTGATCAGTTGAGCACAACAAATACACTGAGTATTCTTTCATTCTATCATTTCAAGGGCAAATAATGTCCGGGCATTCAAAAAATTTTAAATTTACTCATTTAAATAATCAGAGATATGCAGAAGTACCACCCTACACAGTACAAAAGTCAATTAAAAAAATAGGTAATAAGAGCACAATGTCACGGACCTAGTTTCGTTACACCTGAACAACTAGAACCGTGCGGCCTTAACATTCGACAATTCCCGTCCCTCACTAGAAAACGTTAAGTCAGCCTTTCCACGCTCACAAATAATTTCACCAATGAGGCTAAATTATAACCACTTTGAGAAAAGAATTTTGGAGTAAAGAATATATGGAAAATAAGTAAGGATGGGGAAACTTTCTTTGCATAAATGAAAGGGAAAACTTTACAATCTCTCTAATGAATAAACTTACTTAACTCTACATTCTACATGATTTACAAATGAGACTTTCATCTCTATTTATAGACAAAACTTAAACCTCCTTAAGATCAAGTAGCATTTACTTTACAATCCATGCTTAGTTGGTCACAACTCGTGCTTAGTTGTTTACAACTCATCCTTAGTTGTCATCAAGTGGATGATCTTACAACTTTCCTTGCAAGTTGGCGCCAACTCGATCTTAGCTTGCACCTTTGATATTATCCTTGTCAACTCGTTCTTAACTTGCATCTTTGATAATATCTTTGCCAACTTGTGCTTAGCTTGCATCTTAGATAATATCTTGCAAGTGGCACAAGTGGACAAGTTGTGCAAGTTGCCCACTTGTATCCTTAAAATATTCGGCTGCAAGTTCATGCATATTTTCTTCCAAAATGGCTGGTTCGGGACCCAGAAAAACCTCATAATCGTGTTGGAAAACAGCCTGCTTCAGGCAGCCTGCATTCTGCCCAACAGGTTGCCTGCGTCCCCATCCTGAGCCTGCCTGCGTCCCCTGCCGAATCTGTCTGCATCCCCTATCGCAAGTTGTTCCGTCCAGCTAAAGCGCGTTACCCGCGTTGTTTTGCGGCCGCTACCGGGACGGATCGATCGCGACTGTGTGGGGCGTAAGTCACTCCCTTACTGAATTTGGTGACGCCCTCATCGTCCTATACCACCGAAGCTTAGACCTTATTTTCCATAAGTCTTCTCATTTTCCCTTTGTGCCATGACATTCCCGTGTCATGCCGAGTTTCAAGTCATGACCTTGCGGTCCGTAACATTCTCCTCCACTCAATTCGCTAACGTCCTCGTAGCGAAAAGTGTTCCGTGTATCCTCATGCAACCTTGCATTGTCTTTCACGTCAATGGGCATCAAAGTTCTCCCAACTTGCGACACCATCTCCTCGATGATCGGGTTTCCATAGTGCCCCTTGCACCTCTTCCCGTTGCAACCTCTTGCATGCTACCTTCGACACCAACCCTTCCCCTTAGCACCTCTCCATTGGTTCTTCAGATGGACAACTCCTCTGGTTATAGTGTCCCCACACTCGTGCACCCAATTTTGGACTTCTTTGACAATGCTTCCTCAATTTCCTTCTTTTTCGATAGTTCCCTCGGCAACTCCGCAGGCATAATGTCCTTATCATCTTCAAGGACGTCTGCTAACTGCATCCCTGACAGTTGTTGTGTTTCTATTTCCACAGAAACAGTTTCGGCACTCATAGCATTAAACAGCTGGAATAAATTCATTCGAACTTCATCCTCATCTTGGCTATCCATAGCCTCCGATTTGCTCTCCGAAATGGAAATAGATGCCAATGATCCCAACTTAGGACAATCTCTCATGAGATGTGGTCCTTTGCAAATAAAGCAATCTCGAGGTGTAAAATTACTCCTCTTCTTCTCATCATACTGCTTACTTCAAGTAGCTGGTTTGTTGCCAACGGGCTTGTAATCAACTTTGGGATTTGGCCTCCAATCCGGCTTACTCCATTGCATGACTTTCCCTGTATCTTCCTTATTACCCCCAAAATTTCCTTTGGCGGGTTTGATAGTTTTAGGTTCGGTCTCAAGACTTTCTTCAAACTCCGTCGAGGATTCGGCTATTGCAATTGCCTCGTCTACGATTTTGACATCACGACGTTGCAACTCTTGTCGTATCCATGTCGCACAACCGTCTAGAAAATAGAATAGCAAATCATCCTCCGACATGCTTGGGATTTGAAGCATAAGGTCGAGAACTCTTTGACATAGTCACGAATGGTCCCTTTTTGTTTCAATTCCCTTAGTTTCTTGCGGGCCTCATACACAACGTTCTCCGGGTAAAATTGCCTTTTAGCTCCCTTTTGAACTCGTCCCAAGTATCAACCATACAAGCCCCCTTTGCAATTTCGCCATGCTTACGACGCCACCACAACGCCGCAATATCCGAGAGATACATAGAAGCGGTCCGGACTTTCATGGCTTCATCAACAAGATTTACGCCTTCAAAGTAGACTTCCATTTGCCATAAGAAGTTTTCCACATCTTTGGCATCCCGTCGCCCATCATAATGTTTAGGCTTCGGGTATTCAATCCTCGGAGCAACAATAGTTGAAGCGGCACCTCCGCTTGTACCGATTAAAAAGGGTAAATGGGTAACTTTGCTATTTAACCCTATAAAACAGTTAAAATCAAAAATCAAAACAAAATAAAAAATAATAAAAAGAAAAAACTATTCATCTCCTTCTTCTACCCACCCCACGGGGAAATTGAATAATGGCTATTATGGAGCGTCCCTTTGCTCTTCATTTTGAGGAACCTTACCTAGTTTTTCTGTATGTTTTATTTCCTTGTAAGGAACTAGATTTTTTTGCTGTTAACATCATTTCTTTTTCCTGCTAGACCTGAACCAAAATATAATATTGTACAAAGTTTCTCTCATTATTGAATGATATTGAGCTGAAGGAGAGATTTATGGTGTATTTGTGAATGCATTTTAATTTTTCTTACAAGAACTATCGGTGCATATCTGTACATAGTGGTGTAACCGAGGGTTCTGCAGGGTCTGGCATGACCCTTTTTGTTCGAAAATTGCTTGTCAGCCGTGCTGGGCATAATGGATTTTACTTTTTCTTGCATAAGTTACCTTTCTATTGGACCGCACAGACCAATCCGCAATTATTAAATTTCCCGGTAGGGTGGGGTGAAGAAGGAGATGAATAATGTTTTCTTTTTATTAGTTTTTATTTTGTTTTGATTTTGATTTTAATTGTTTTATAGAGTTAAATAGCAAAGTTATCCTTTTACCCATTTTAATTGGTCAAAGTTCAATTTTATTGGTCAACTAATGATCAAATGAACGATTTTCATCCAATTGGACCGCGGGTGCATATTTATGAAATGTTAGGGATCTTCGCTAGTACAAATTGAAAGTTAGGGTAAAATCTAAAAATTGAAAAAGTTTGGGCCGTTGCAGCAATTTTCACAAAAAATTAATATAAAACAAAGGCTAAAATAAATATATTGGATGAAAGAAAAATTAAGAGATATCTAGAATATAGTTAAGGTGTAATCAACTAACAAGTGTCAAATGAATGGATATGCAAATTCCCTGAAATGTATTTGCATAAAAGATGATGTGAGAATTCTCAAGCATCAATGTACAAACAAAATTAGATAATATGGGGCAGTCATAGTTAGAAAAACAAGTAATGCAACTCTTTTGGAAAAAAATCTCCCCAGGACTCATAGGTAAGCTGCATACAAGTGTCAAATGAACGGATATGCAAATTCCCTGGAATGTATTAGCATAACAGATGATGTGTGAATTCTCAAGCATCAATGTACAAACAAAATTAGATAATATGGGGCAGTCATAGCAAGAAAAACAAGTAATACAAACTTTCTATGCAGCACAAAAGAAAGCTTGTTATTTCCAGCATATATTGTCTAATAGTACCACCTTTTACTGAAAATTAAAATGCGACTTATTTCATAACTCAATATATACAATCACCTTAAATTCATCCCTAGCACCTTAAATTCATCTCTAGCACAAGATTTTTCACAAGAATGAAGAGGAATGCATAACTTATAATTCTCATTTAGTGAGACACAAAAGTGACGAAACTATCTACTTAAATGCAGAAGTGACTGAAACCTAATTGCAGGCCACGCCAGCAAGACAAAATTTAAATATCACACTTGTTTGCCACATGTCAATGCTCTTTAATGCAAGATTAGTGAATGGTGTTCCATGTGTCATAATCCACAATTACTACCTAAACATTTTGCTTCCTTATACACTAAGCCCCTGTTTGTTGGGAATTAAATCAGATTTTTAGTCGATTTTGATATACATCAGAAAAAAATGGTATTCTATCATATTATACAATGTTAATTTTGCATTAATTTTGGGAACCACCATCAAGGAAAATTTCTAGAATAATGCTGTGTAGACTGCTGATGGTCTGTAGTCAAGTGTCAATTAAACGGCATTAAGTTATAGGACAGAAAATGCAAGCATGGCTTAGGGAGGTTTTTTTCCTTATTTAACTAACATAAAAACTATTAAATGTAAGAATATGGGCCCCATTTAATGCCACCTAGATTGCTGACCATCAGCCGTCTAGATAAACATCACTCAAATTTGTATGTGTAGAATTAAATGCATTAATTATAACCATAAGTCAAATAAATAATTTTCTATATAGACGTAAGGTATGATCAAATTAAGTAAAACAATCAAAACAAGCAGCATCCATAATTCAGGCAAAGCAATAGTTAATAGTTAATAGCATGATGTTTGTTTGCCACATGTCCTGTTACACCGCTAGATGTCAAAATAGAGTTACGTGCACTATAGTCCTCAATTACCCAACTCAACTGATAAATTTTCGAATTCATGAAATCATTTCATCAAGAGGCAAAATACAAAAAAATTCCCCTCAAAATTCATTACAAAATTAGAAACAATTCAAATCAAAGATTGGTAGCAACAATATAAAATGAAAGAATAATGCTATTCATGGTCATATTAGTTTCCTGTAATTCTTTTGCCTTGAATAGCAAGCTAATGCCTGAAATAACAAGCTATAGTGCAGGATGATCAATGCAGTCAATATGTATAGCACTACTCAAAATGAAATGAGATATCATGACGAAATTACTTTTCAAAAATGTACCATATCTTTCATATTCGAAAATGACATATCATTCCAAGCCAGAATTTCAAAATGTAAATAGAATTCATATTCCAAAATGATATACCATTTCAAGCAGGAAGTTTAAAATTTAGTATACAGCTTAAATCTCTCACCGAATAATTAAAAACCCATTTTTAAAATAAAACATGGAAAATTAAGACCACATTAGTATTAATTCTACTGTTGTTAGCACAAATATAGCCATTTATCAACAGTCAACTGACATGGAATCATAAAATAAGCACTGTATAGTAAATTGAAAAGAAACAGAAAAATAATTCCCAGAAAAAACTAAGAAAATCACTAACCAGGATCACACTGCTGGTAAAATTCTTCAACGTCTGCACCACAAAAATAGCAGGTAAAAATACCCACATTAGACCAAAGGGAAAAAAATCTCGCAAGATAAAAGTGAGACAAAAATAAGAATTGAAGAGCAAAAACAAAAAATTTTAAAACACCTGTGGTCAGTGCTTTGATAAGGCCAGTTCGACGGCCCTTGAAATCTCTAAAAACTTCTTCAACAGTTCGAGGATTGTACAGTCCTCCGTCCATTTGTCCCCAAGTTCAACTTTAACGAAATAAATAAAACTATAGGGCACCCAAAAACCCAGCGAAGTATAGAAATGGGTTTTAGTGGAAGAACTGAAAGGAAGTGAAAGAAAAAAAGAAAATTTTGAAATAAAGGACTGAGAAAAAGAAGAGGAAGAATAGCAGGGAACATATGAAGATGGGGCGGATTTGAATCTAACGAAAATGGACGGGTTTAACTAGATATCAGAATTGGTGATGAGTCCGAGAGCGCACCCACAAGGTCAGGGTCAGGGTTGCACCCGGTCCCAAATCCTATTGAAACGATAAAATTTTCCAATTATTACGGGTAAGTACTACTTTCAATAGTTTATGCTGGGTTTGCCATGCATGAAACCAAGAATTTGTTTGAATTTCAATTTTTTGGTAGAATAGATTTTGTAATAGTACTTTTTAGAAAGCGTATCATTAAAAAAGTAAGGAAAAATTTTAAGCATACTACATATGTATATAATTATTTTATTGTGGGTGAGTGTGATTAAAAATGTGTTTAAAAAAATAATATTTTAAAGAATGTGGCTCCAACGTGGACTAAACCACAAAAACTGGGTTAAAAGCATTGTGGATCGCTTAACAAATTATTTAGTTTTGATTTACTTAAAAATCTAATTAGTTCGTCGACTATTAACAAAATTTTACTTTAATTAGATTGACGACTATTGATAGAGGCCAAATCTGTAACAACAAATCAAAATTGACTGAGTTGATTGCATGAAATTAAATATGGATGACTTAGATACAATTGGCCGATTTGTAATGCATTTAACCAAGATTATATTTTGTTGAGTACATTTTTTAGAATGGTTGAATCTCGATCACTCATCTTTGATTTTATACAATCAAATTATCCAACTTCTACTTGCTTGCAAAGTTGAATATAATTGTCAGGGATGGCGGGGCGGGGCGGGGCATTTTCGTCCCCCCGTTTCATCAAGTATTTTTGTCTACATATTCTATTTTCATGCTCAGTTGAGGTGAGATAGGCGATAGGCAGGGCAATGCAGATTCCTAGCACTCGTTGCTGTTTTTATTTTTAAATTTTTTATTTTTTAATAAGTCTAGTTGGTAAAAATCATTTACTTTTATCCAATTTGTAGAACAAATCATATTTTCTTTAAAAATGATGACGACTCTATTTTTTTGGGATAAATTATTATATTTTGAATAGAATTTAAACATGAATAGGAACCCAATTAGTTGGTGAATCCCCATCCCGACAATCGAACTCATTGTCTTCTTAGTGAAATCATCTGTTCAGACACTTCTCTTCTTCGATCCTTGACCTTTTCCCTTTGGGTTCTCAGACCCAAAGGATAATCATTCAGGGCATTGCCACGAATCGAGTATAATGGATTTTCGCCCTCCTAATTACAAACAAACAAATTATTTTAATTAGATTGACATTTGCAGCAAGCAAGGCCAAGTTTGAAAGAGTAAATCAAAGTTGATTGTCTAGAATTGAATATGCCACAAAAGTTATATTGTCTTAATCATCTTTCGTCTAATAAATTCTTGAGCATGGTCATATCGTGATTACTCATCTTTAATTTTATACAATCAAATCACTCAACTTCAAGTTGGCAAATTTGACTACTTCAATTTGCTTGTAAATTACTATTGTTGTCAACAAACTAGTTTTATTAGATTGACAATAGCGATAAGGGGGCAACAAGAGCAAATCGAAGTTGACTGAATTGATTACACGAAATTGAATATGGGTGAAGAATGATTTAAAAACTGTTTTTTAACTATTGAAATTTAAAGAATAATGCTATCTAGTATCAGTTTTGCTTATGCACCAATCTAAGTGCAATCATTTAATGGGGTTCAATGAAATGTGGAATCACGTGACTCATTTAATTGTTCATATCATTTAATGACACTTAACCCTATTAAAGTTCGTGTAATTCCAGTGATGTTAAATAGCATCACTTAAACTTAAATCGAGCCATTTCCAAATGATTTGGTTCAATCTTGTAACGATCAAAACACAAATCACACGGAACCAAACAAATATTTTTGAAATCGCGATTTTGACTTGATTTGATAGGTTGACCCTTTTTTTCACCTAAGCAAATGCATAGAGAATCTAGTCATCTTCGAAGACAATGTTTCCAGATGAAGATAAAATATCAGCAGCAATTGTCATTTTGAGTAAATACTCGGGTGATTGAAGTTGAAGATGATATAGCCCCTATTTGATCCCCCTCTTTTTAGAGACATGTGTTTTGGAATAGTAATTTTTAGAAAACGCGTGGCTAAAAAATTAGGAAAATTTTTGAATTTAGGCGTAAAATTTAATTTTTGGAGAATGTGTGATTGTAAATGAATTTTTGATAAATTGAAACCCAAACAATTGATGCTTGAATCCGAGCAGCAAAAATATTTTCAACCTGATGCCAGATTTTCGTGGATCTTGTCTCTCATGGTAAACATGAGTTGACAAATTCAGGATGTCCATTCACTGATGGGGCCAACTAGCCAAAAGCCACAAGCAGCCTTTGCTAAATTCAAATACTTTCTTCAATGAACCTTTGTATCTTATTCCTTCTGGTATGTGTAGTTATATCCACTTGTGACTTTCGGCAGTAAGTGAGTCTTATCGATGCTTTTTCACGGTATTTTTTAAAATCTGAATCTCAAGAATTTCTTCAATTCAAAGCTCGAGTTGAATTGCTCTTTGATAAGAAAATTTGAATGGATCAATCCGATGGGAAAGGGGAGTATTGCTTATTGACGAACTCTTTTAGAACTCATGGAATATTCCGTAAAGTTTCTTGTCCTCTTACTTCGCAGCAAAATGGTAACATATGAATATTGTTGAGTTTGTACTAACTATTCTTGGTCAAGTATCAATGCCTCTCTGTTATATTAGTTGGGTGCCTCTCCATTTCTTGCTGGCCCAGATTGAAACTTGTAGGCTTGATCTGTTTTGGAATTATTTTCGGGTTATAAATCGTGCTCTTTGAGGAAACACGCCTTTTGCCTCTTAAATGGTTGAGGTTCAGCCGTACACGTGGCTTCACTCTCACCCTTGGATGGTTGACTGATCAGATACTTACTTGGTTTTGGCCCTAATTCTAGATCATTCGGTCTCTTTCAACTCTTCGTCTCTCTGCCCTTCTCTCTGAGTAATAGATTAGGGTTCTTGGTCACTGTAATTCATATGATCTTAGTGATTTCTCAATCTGTAATCCTTAGTGATGGTTTCTGATTATGTTGTATAGTATGTTACGATTGAGAGTGAGTGGATTACATTTTAGAATAGAGGCGAAAGAATACTCGAAGAAATCTTTGGTTTCTTCGTACATGGTGTACTGATTCTTGGTTGATACTTAGTGGATCTTAAGTTGTATCACCTGTTGGTGATGCTCAACGGTTGACTAGGTCGTAAGACCGAACATCCGGGCCCTTTTTAGGGCAAAAACATATCTTCGTGTTCGATTCATTTTATTTTTCTGCAAATCTAATTTTTCAGCAAAGCGATTTATTTTTGAGACTAAACGATCCTTCGACTTAACAAGTTGTATCAAAGCAACTATTTTTCTGAAAATAACCTTTTTAAACAGTTTTTTATTCTTTGGAATCTTAGATTTGATGATCTCTGGAAAATAATTTTTTTTTTGGTTCTTAAAAACTGAAATTTTTTAATTTCCTTACGACTCGTTTTAACTCGCTCTAACTCTGTTTGATCTGTTATTCTTTGTACTGGGTTGTGCAAGTTGAGTTGACTCGATCCGGTTTGTGGTGAGTTCTTGACTCACTACTGAGTTCACACTGAGTTCTGGTGACTCGTTGGCTTCTTGAACTTGCATTGCTCCTCCTATTCCGGTTCTGACACTTCATTACTGCTTCCTATACTCTAAAACATTAAGTTTTAGATTCTGGTATTTTCTAGAACCCCCTTTGTTAAACTGCAATTGTAATCTATTTTAGAGTTTTCTTATGGTCATTAAGGTAAGTAATCTTTCACTGCTTACCTTTGTCCAAGATCTCCTGCGAAGATCTGGGAATCTGAGGAAGCAGTGGGTTATAAGGATTACCACTCCTTAGACCACTCTTAACTGACTTTCAGTTCCTGCTCTTTTTGGATTGAATTGTGTATTGCATGATAGGAAGACACAATTATATATATTCTGCCTTGTCATTTCTATCACATTTTTGATCAATTAAAATAAAATACCTGAATTAATATACACTGTGTGTTGTATAAATTTTTGTGTACACATATTTGTCATCATGTCCACATCTCAAAAATTTGAAGTTGAGAGATGGAATGGTACTGGAGACTTCAATCTCTGGAACCAAAAATTGGGGGCACTATTGCTGCAGCAGAGATGTGCTGCAGCCATTGATGGTAATTGGCCTATAGAAACTAGTGCCTATAAGAGACAGGAGTTAGATGATACTGCATGGAGCACAATTTTCTTGCACTTATCTGATAGTGCAATTAGAAAAGTTGGAGAAACTACTTCAGCTCAAGCCCTTTGGACTAAGTTAGAAACATTATATCTAACTAGAACTATGCCTAATAAATGCTACCTTCTTAGGCAATTCTATAATTTCAGATTTGATCCTACTTCAAATCTGGAAGATAACCTTGATAGATTCACAAAATTGATTCAGGACTTGACTAATTGTGATGAAGAAATTTCTGATGATCAACAAGCTATGGTATTGTTAAATTCACTAAGTGATAAGTATAGAGACATTAGAAATGCATTAGAATATGGGGGGCAAGAACTTACCATTGATAGAATAACCTCAGGCTTGAGAAATAGAGAACTTGAAATAAAATCTGAGTCTAAAGACTCAAGGTATGGTGAGGGGTTATTCATAAAGGAGAAACATAACCAAAATAAAAGACAATATCCCTTAAATCAAAATTTAAATAAGAAAGGGAAAACTCAATTCTCCAGATCTAAGGGAAAGAATAAAAATCAATGGGAAACTAAAAACCAACTCAGGAAATGTTATTACTGTGGTAAAACTGGCCATGTAATAAAAGACTGCTTCAAGAAAATCTCAGATATGAAAGAGAATGCTAATACTGAGGGATCTGCAGCTATAGCCTGCAGAGATGAATCTGATATTCAAGGGGTTGTTTTAGTAACAATCACCAGAAGAGACCCAAATGA